TGTTGTATACTCTATAAGACTACTTGTCAGATAAATCTAAAAATTGAGATTTACATTTGCATTTGAGTTTTATTCATTTTATAGATTCAAAGCAGTATGTTTATAGTAAAATCACCTAAACGTTTTGCTCAGATACCTATTGTAAATTTCAGTAGAACCTCTAAGAGGTAACATTCATTGAACTACAGGCTTTGATTTGCTTGAAAGGCACTAAATTCAGAACGAAAAGATAAGCTATGGCAGGGATTGCAGCTAAGGCAAATAATCATTATCTCCTCAGACTTCCTTCAGCTGCATTGTTCCTACATTTTTATTTTATTTATTTATTTTGCTTTTTGGTATAATTTCCGCTATGCTCCAGAAGCAGTTTAACTAGATATATATCATGAGAAGACCCCCAAACACTTCTGGACTTTAAAATAGTTTCAGGAAGAAGGTTCTCTTAATGTTTTCAAAGCTTTTCCCATTCTCTTTCTAAACCCTTTCAGAAAGGACAGCTTTCTTAGCCCTCTTCTACATTGCTATATAATCTAGATTATCAAAGCAGATATTCCACATTATCTGCTTTGAACTAGATTATGAGTCTACATTGCCATATAATCCAGTTCAAAGCAGATAATCTGGATTTTATATGGCAATGTAGAAGGGGCCACATAATAAAATCATATAATCCATTTCAAAGCAGATAATGTGGATTACCTGCTTTGATAATCTGGATTATATGGCGGTATAGAAGGAGCCTAAGGCTCTTCCACCAGCAATTTGTATCATCACCTGCCACTGTTGCAGCAAGGACTGAAGTCTCACCAGCTGCAGAAATTGAGAAAAGATGCTTTCAATAAGGGTAATAAGCCTAGTTTTGAGCTTCCTCCTTATGTGTAGGCATTTGCTTAACACTACTGCAGCTGTATGTAGACAGGGGTGGGTGCACATATATATTATTCAGAACTAGACTGAAGAAAAAAGTAAGGTAGATGTTGATGTCTAAAATGGCATGGGAAGATAAGTTGGAAAAGCAGCCTGTTAATGATCCTTAGTCAAAAGATATTTTAAAAAATTAATGCAACCGCAAAAAGGCCCTGACAATGTATGCTTCCTTCAGTAACTATTAGCAAAGTATAACAAAGATGCTTCCTGTGAGAAGACTGTATCAATTTCCTTCACAACCGAGTCAACAAATGAAACATCCCTACCAGAGGCGGCCCTAGGTAATTTTCAATGGTAAGCAAACAGTATTTTGCCCCCCCCCCCCAAACCAATCACTGATATATATTTTCTGTTCGTCATGGGAGTTCTGTGTGCCATATTTGGTTCAATTCCATCATTGGTTGAGTTCAGAATGCTCTTTGATTGTAGGTGAACTATAATCCCAGTAACTACAACTCGCATATGTCAAGGTCTATTTTCCCCCAAGAGCACCTCAAAAGCGCCCCTGGGCAAAGTCAACTATACTGCAAATGCTTACTTTGTGTAATGGGTTGAGCCACCCCTGATCCCTACCTATTAACAAATACACAAGCTATAACCTTTTCAAATGAAGTCAAATTCTCACAATCTACATTGATTTCAAAAGGTGGTTATAGGAACACTGCTTCTGCTATCAAATCCCAGAATAATGCTCCTCCCAGTACGTGGCATTTTTGTATCCTTGGCTACACACATCTGGAATCCTCAGTTAGTCCCTAATCCATCTAAAACACAGACATGTGCCTTTCATCTTAAGAACAGACAAGCATCCTGAGCTCTGAGGATTACCTGGGAAGAAATCCCCCTGGAGCATTGCAGCGCACCCAAATACCTGGGAGTCACTCTGGACGGCGCTCTGACCTACAAGCACTGTCTGAATATCAAGCAAAAAGTGGGCGCTAGAAACAATATCATACAAAAGCTGACTGGCACAACCTGGGATCACAACCAGACACAGTGAAGACATCTGCCCTTGCGCTATGCTACTCTGCTGCTGAGTATGCATGCCCAGTGTGGAACACATCTCACCACGCTAAAACAGTGGATGTGGCTCTTAATGAGACATGCCGCATTATCACGGGGTGTCTGCGCCCTACACCACTGGAGAAATTACACTGCTTAGCCGGTATTGCACCACCTGACATCCGCCGGGAAGTAGCAGCCAATAGTGAAAGGACCAAGGCAGTGACATCTCCAGCTCATCCCCTTGTTTGGGTATCAGCCAGCACATCAACGACTTAAATCAAGACATAGTTTTCTTAGATCTACAGAGACACTTGCTGGAACACCTCAGCAAGGAAGAGTCCAAAAGTGGCAGGCTCAAACCCAGAACCTCAATCAATGGCTGATACCAAATGAGAGACTCCCCCCTGGGCACACAGAAAACTGGGCGACTTGGAAGACGCTGAACAGACTGCGCTCTGGCACCACAAGATGCAGAGCCAACCTTAAGAAATGGGGCTACAAAGTGGAATCCTCGACATGCGAGTGTGGAGAAGAGCAAACCACTGACCACCTGCTGCAATGCAACCTGAGCCCTGCCACATGCACAATGGAGGATCTTCTTGCGGCAACACCAGAGGCACTCCAAGTGGCCAGATACTGGTCAAAGGACATTTAATCAACTACCAAGCTTGCAAATTTTGTGTTTTGTCTGTTTGTTTCATTCTGTTAGAAATGTAATACAATTGTCTGGTTGCCCCTGACATGATAAATAATAGGAAAAGCTCTTCTAGACAATGTCTATCAATCTTTCTGCCTCGAGACAGACTCAAGGCATAGATATAAAGTATTATAGATCACACTAGATGCCATATCCTTTGATGATAACTAGCTACCACTATAGGCATTTTGAATTTGCTTTAAATTCAGAAAGGCAATAATTACTTCTAAGTTAAATTATAGGCAGTCTATGGATAACAAACAAAACAGGTTCTGTAGTTTTGTTCTCACGTTCGATTTGTATGTAAGTCAGAACAGGCACATTTTAAAGTGTAACTTCAGTCTATCTATCTAGTAAATTGAATAGTTTTTGATAGCGCAGGGAAGGGTTAACACCCCTGGAAAGTTTGTTTTGCTATCTATACCCAGGTTCTGAAGATTTCACCTCAGTTTGTCCCTGTAACAATTGGATCTTGAAAAATGTAGCTGGTCATGGAAACAAGGATTGGTGATAAAAGCTTCAGTGGAGACACCTTTTCCCCATGATATAGCTCTTCCAGCTCTTCATCGCTATGATACTTCATCTGGTTGATGGGAAGCTTCCCAGCGGAGTGGAAATCATCTATCGGACAGATAGCAAGCTGTTTAACCTGAGCAGACTGAAAGCCAAAACCAAGGTTACAACAACAGTATGTTGATGACAATGCCGTCTGGGCGCATTCAGAAGATCTACAAGCCACTCTAAATACCTTCGAAGATCATACGAGAAGCTTGGCGTGTCATTGAACATCGAGAAACCCAAAGTGCTGTTCCAGCAGTCACCAGCCAACCCCTCTCCAAAGCCAGCGATACAGCTTAATGGTGTAACATTAGAAAATGATAATTTCTGCTACCTTGGCAGCCACCTCTCCACCAAAGTCAACATCGACATCGAAATACAACACCGCCTGAACTCTGCGAGTGCAGCATTTTTTTGAATGAAGCAGAGTGTTTGAGGACATCCGTAGGGAGACCAAGGTGCTTGTTTATAAAGCTATTGTCCTCCCAACCCTGCTATATGCCTGCGAAACGTGGACTGTCTACAGACGTCACATGCAACTCCTGGAACGATTCCATCAGCGCTGCCTCCGGAAAATCCTGCAAATCTCTTGGGAAGACAGGCGGACAAACGTCAGTGTGCTGGAAGAAGCAAAGACCACCAGCATTGAAGCGATGGTCCTCCGCCATCAACTCTGCTGGACCGGCCACGTTGTCCGGATGCCCGACCACCGTCTCCCAAAGCAGTTGCTCTACTCTGAACTCAAGAATGGAAAACGTAATGTTGGTGGACAGGAAAAGAGATTTAAAGATGGGCTCAAAGCCAACCTTAAAAACTCTGGCATAGACACTGAGAACTGGGAAGCCCTGGCCCTTGAGCGCTCCAGCTGGAGGGCAGCTGTGACCAGCAGTGCTGCAGAATTTGAAGAGGCACGAATGGAGGGTGAAAGAGAGAAATGTGCCAAGAGGAAGGCGTGTCAAGCCAACCCCGAGATGGCCTTCCACCAGGAAACCAATGCCCTCACTGCAGAAGAAGATGCAGGTCAAGAATAGGGCTCCACAGTCACCTACGAACCCACCGCCAGGACACCGAACTTGGAGGACCATCATCCTCGGAGGACCATCATCCTCGGACTACGAGGGATCGACTAAGTAAGTAAGTAGCTATTCCAGGAGTGAATTTCCCTTTCTAGGGATAGATTTTCTTTCACATCTTATTGTCTCACCCCTAGGAGTCATATGTAAGTCAGATTGTAACTCAGGAATTGTCTGTATACTATATAATTCGTCACTGGAAATAGTGGATCCAATTAAATGAAGTTATGTCATGGGAACAACAGATACATCATGTCCCACTCTGCCTTGCTATGCATGTCTCATTGGTATAATAATGAAGTCAGAAATGCATTTTCTCTACTGTCTGGCTTCAGATCTCTTCTCCCATTTAAAATACTGGAGAAGAAAAAGAACAAGACATACAAAACAACACATACAAAAGTAGTATAGAAGAAAATGCCTTTCTTCTAATAGAACAGATGAACTCTCTGCCAACACAAATAGTAATATCTTTTGAAGAAAATGCATTCTGTGTAAATGTGAGAGTGTCGGTCTTGATTAAACCGAGTTGTAAAGCATGAAAAGAAAATGCAGAGTACCAGTATTTTCAACACAGTAAGTCAACAGAGATCAGGACTCTTGTCAAGGGCACCTAGTTAACACAAAAATGAAGTTGGATGCACAATTACTGTGAATTTAAAAATCAGGATCTCTCTCTTCTCTGCAGATTCTCTCTCTTCTCTGAGCTGGTAAAAAATTATATACTCACAGAGCCAAGGTTAGGAGTGCAAATATCAGATTTGGTCCATCCAACACAAATCACTCCAAGATGAAAATTCTACACTGCATTCACAATGTCGGTTCCCATCAAAAAATTAATAATGCCCCCACAAATTTTATAAGGTTAAAATAAAACCCAAGTGTTATCTGAAAAAACAAACAAACAAACAAAACAAAACTACCCCCTATTAATACAACCAAAGATATCTAGCCATACATTGGATCCATTCTGTGTAGCTTTTTACTTATTACAAAATCAAAATGATCAATTTCTTGAAAAGTCCTTAGTGGCAGTTGCCCTATTGCCACCATTTTGAATCAAGTCTTATTTTTTGCCTTAAACAAAGAGATTGTATTTCTACGCTCCACTGATTGCTGTTTTTGTGTTTATAAATAAAGTTGGACAATGCTTCAAAGAGGACATTACTATTTAGCAGAAGAGTTTTATCCATCATTTTATCATTTGTGTCTCTTCATCAGCATCATAAAATTCTTCTTCCTCACTTTCACTCCCAGCTGAATCTTGGCCGCACTGAAACAAAAATGAGATTCTGAGAAAGATATTCTTTATCAGGTTTAGAATAAAAGTTTTTATACGATTAATTACTGCATTGCACTGCTTTTCATCCATTTACATATGGCAGAAGAAGACAAAGGCAACCTTTAATAGTTCTGCCCCTATCATTCACCTGCCGTATGTGGATTACATTAAACTATAGCAGCAACTATAGAACCGAGATCAAGAATTTTTTTTGAAAAATATCATTCTGTTATTTGTAATTTTAATTGTATTTGGGACAAACACTCATACCTTTACAATAATACTAAACTTTTTTTAGACTGCTCTATCTTCCTAGGGGAACTCAGGGCGGTTTACACACACAGAGGCAAACATTCAATGCCTGACATATACCAAAACATTACAGCAATAAAACATAATACAAAATAATAACAGCATTATACCAACCAACTAAAATTAAATATCAAAATAAAAACATAGAACGGCTAATCAGTAAACAAATACATTTAAAATATGGTCAACAATAAGACATCTAACATACAAGATACTAAAAGCCCCCAAGGCACAAAGCAAAGGACTGCATTTCAGTGCTAGAGGCATCCCTCACCTATCAAAATCTTTATGACTATGACCTTTAACAAAATGACAGCCAAAGCTATTTCTACCACTCACTTTTGCTTCCTCCATTATCAGCATGGAGATCTGGGCAGTCCCACTTGTTCTGATGGTTAAGTGGTGGCGGACCTATTTCATGGTCTCCTTTATCTCTATCTACTACAACATGAGGTGATCAGAAAGTAAACATACCTGTAAGCTTTTCAATTCCTGAAGTGACGTGGCTTCATCACCCAGTCTCTGATATGAACAAACCTGGAGGTCAAATATTGTCTCCAGTAGAGGGCTATTTAGAGTTTCTGGCAGTAGTAGACTCAGAAAACCAGCCAACAAGCCTGCCACTCCAAAAACAATATATGGCAGGTATGACTGCAAAGATTTCTGTAAAAAAAATCAACACACACAAATATCTAATATCAGCTGGGATCCCACAACCTTAGCTACAGGACTTTTATACACATAGCTCTTTACTAGCTGTTTTATACTGCCATAGCACATGTTGGGTCGGTTACAGAATAGTGAGGCAGTGAACAGTATTACTTAATAGCATGGTAGTTCAAATGAACACTTATCTCATCTTCTCAAGCTTTGCCCTGAGAACACATTAATTTGTCTAGGAGTTAGTACAAAATGATGTATTGTACTTCAATTCTAAGATGCACTTTTTTGCTATATAAACACCTCTAAAATGGGGTGTCTTAGAATTGCATGTGTATTTTATGTATTTTTATGGTAGTGGTTGTATTGAAATTAGGACATGTTTTAAAATTGAAGAAATATCATGTATACAAAATGATGCACTTACAGATGAAAGTGCAAGGAATGCAAGTGTCATGATAAAATATGCTGTATGGTTTGAGTGAGATTGTATGAAAGGTGTACGAATGTGGCCCAATTGGGCTGAAGATACCATTCTAAGGAATGAGGCCTGGAAAACTACAAGACAGAGGCAAAGAACCGATGGAGTAATTAAAAATTGCTGATGAGATTTGAGACAAATGATTAACTGTTGACATTCTGACTTGATAAACTCTTGGTGGAAAAACAACTTCTTTACATAGCCAAAGACAATGGTTCTTTTAAGTAAGGAAGTCAACACTGTGGCTCCTTACAGAACTGTTTACAAGCCTCCTTGATAAGGAAAGCCAATTAAACAAAATCAACATCTGTCCAGGAACTGATGGAATCTGTCTGTCAGTAATTTACAACATTCAGAACCACATCAACAGAAAATACTACATAAAAGGACCCTTTTCTCTCAGAGAGAGTGTGCCAGACCAACTGAACACCATTTCTGAACACCATCGTGAACAGCCGCCTCCTCTCAAGAAGCTGATCATCTTCAATAAGAAGAATGGTAAGAATGCTTGATGAATGATGAATGAATGATTGATTGTTAGAGTATATGTGTAAACATTGATGCAATATTCCTTCTTTGTCTATGTAACCAATATAATTATTATAAAACCCAGTACTGGAGTCTGTGCCTACTTTTTCTCTGAAAGTGCCTAATGCAACCTGTCTCACTAAAAGCGGAATAAAAGAACCTATTTAATGTTTTTAAAAAGTACTTATGACATATTAACAATAATTTCAGGATTGGCCAGATTACTAGGGGGATATGATGACATGGATGTAAGACAAATGAGAAAAACTACATTAAGAGATGTATTCTCTAGCAATGGCAATTTTGCAAAAAAAGCAAAAAAGCAGTACTTCACAACACAGAATGCTATCTAAAATGCTGGGATTAAATTTTAGCTCCCTTTGTATTCTCACTCTTGCAGCACTATAAAACTTGCATTTGGTATGAATTGACATTTTCCTCAGAACAAATTTAAAAAATTACACCTAGATTGAGCTGCTTAGCTCTCCATAAGACTGGCTATTTACTGGGTACATTGAAATAAACTTGGGATTTATTGTCCAAAGTACGAGACAGTGCTACTCTAATACATATCCAAAGGGCACTTCCAGTGTTTTGAGGCTGACTCCCTCTGACTAACATCCCCACCAATAAGACTCCAACTTCAAAACCTGTCAGGATCTTCTTGGTGGCATGACCACCAAGTCTGAGACACTAAGGTCTAAAGGGAGCTGATGACAATCTTATTGCTTAGATCTCAGAGTGGTTTGGTCACAAGGGGAAGACTGGACATATGGCCCTCAGGCCTGGGGCTACATTTCTAGAAAAGCATCACTTAGCTCTCTTTTACAGAAAATATGTGAAGAGTCACTGAATCCTGCTACTGAATTGGGGGTGGGGGTGGGGAATAGCACACTCATAGTTCTACACCGGCAGGTGATTCAGTTAAGCACCTGCCTCCCTCAGAGGGAAGCTGCTTTCAGATTTCAAGATGACTTCTATGTACAGTTAGATTAAAGTAGTGAGTATATCAGATGGTGCCAATGGGCACCTACTGATACTGAAAAAAAAACTTCTTACTAGCATCTGGAAATGGCTCCAAACCTCTGCTAGACTCATCAACAAACGTTTCTGAGCTTCATTTGGGGTTCCAAGATCCTCATAAACATGAAAAAGGTGACTAACTAAAGGCTAATGTTTTGTCCTACAGTCTGTCCAGCCACCAAAGGGGCCCTGTCTCTTCTCAAGAGTGGGATGGGAACGAAGAAAAATGGCACAAACCAGAGCTGGAACAAAAGGAGCAATGATCCCACCAACTCGGGAGAACATAGAGCAGGTTCCCATTCCAACATTCCTGTGAGGAGAAAAAAAAAGGACAATATAGTTGCAATTAAGGGAATAATTTTCCTACATAGGACTCCCCAACCATATATACAGTGCAGTGTCCCCACTCCTCAGTCTTATAATTTTTAGTCTCAGCCAATGGTCCTTTATCCTGCCTTGTCTGCTTTAGTGGAGAATAAGTCACTTTACTTGAGCTTTGGGAAAAGGCTCTTTGTTAGGAAGGCATGCAGACGGAGGCAGACAGATTAGAGGAATGTTTGAATTGTGAGTCAATAAGCCATGGCAGAAGAGGAGTCCAAAAGGCAAGCGTAATGTGACTGAACTGTTCCAGTGGTGCACTGGATGGGTGTTGAAGGGCTGAGCTCTCCAAACTTTTCATGTTGGTGACGCATCACAGTAACTCAGTTTTACTAGTAAGCCAAAGGTTAAGCCAACTCCTTATAAGTGTTTCATACAATATTTATTTATTTTATTTATTTAAAAGTTTTATATACCGGCCTTCTCACCTCTCTTGAGGGACTCAGGCTGGTTTCCAACCAAATATCACAGACAATCAATAAAACATCATAATTCATATTACAGTAAAACATTAAAACAGCAATTAAAATCAAAATATACTTTCTCTAGAATGTATAATATATAATATATATGTTTCATATAATCTTTACTGCATAAATGAGATCTGGAATTTTTTCTTTTACACTTCCTTTAATATAGTTGATTCTTAAATAGTTTCCTCCATGCAGTTAATCACAAATATCATTGTAAACACAATATCTTTTCTAAATTAGACTTATATGTTTTAGTGGTAGTAACTAATTACAAAAAATATAACTCTACCTACACTTGAACAGCACCAGCACTCCACTCCTGTACTAATTAAATCTCTCTGGATGGCCACCCACAGATGCTTTGATTATGTCTCGTGCCTGGTTGAAGGGGATGTGACTAGATGTCTTTTGGGGGTCTCCTTGAACCCTAGTAAAACATAGACTTCCTGGGGCACCAGTGGGGTCTCCTCTTTGAACATTTTTGAACTGAAGCTGGATGGATATCTGTTGGGAGGGCTTTGACTGTGTCTTGCTGTCTGGCTGAAGGGAGTTTGACTGGCGGTGGGGGCGGGCGGACATACAAATTAGTATGTCCTGACACACAGTCTGGAAAGCTCTGTTGTAAGGGAAGGAATAAGAGAAAAAGAAAGGAGGCTCAAGCTAGACTTGCACTGGGACACTTTCTAACACCGTACATATTACAGTGCAGCATTACCGTATTTGCCTGGATGGTAACATCTTTCACAGAAAGAGGCCTTGCTTGGACACTTTGTAAGTCTCAAGGGAAAAGAATACCAAAAATACTTCCAGCCAAGCTCCCCCCTCCAAGTGATTCCTATAAAAAACAACAAAGACCACCAATCTTGTATAACACCAACAGGCAGCTCCCATTCTTTTGGAGACATGAAGTGCCCCATTAGTTTTTATGAGCCATAGAGCTACCTAGAGACCTCTTCTCACTTAAAAAAACTGTTCCAGTAAGGAAAAGATGTGATTCCAAAAACCTCTAAAATGGCAATTTTCATCTAAAGCAAGGCATAGGGTCCTGCTTTAATATCTCTGAAAATTTTCTGTGATGATTTTAAAAACACATTTTCAAGAGAAGTATGGATTCCTGGGGAAGTCATAACCCCCCCCCCCCCCCCCCCCCCCCCAAAGATACTGGAGAAGAGAAGGTTAAGAGGTAAAATGATCACCTCATATTGAGGAGGGAGCAAACCTGTTTTCTGCTGCTCTGGAAACTAAGACAGAAAGCAATGAATTCAAATTGCAGAGAGAAAAATCCACATTAGGAAGAACTTCCTGATGGTAAGAGCTGTTCAGCAGTGAAATATGCTTCCTCGGATGTTGATGGTCTCCTTTCCCAGAAGTTTTTAAACAGAGGCTGAATAACCATCAGCCGGGAGTACTTTGACTGTGTATTCCTGCATGGCAGCATGGGGTTAGATTGGATGGTCTTTGGGGTCTCTTCCAACTCTGTGATTCTAGGATTTACAGAAGTAATCTGACAGATTTCTTGTAGCCTAATCTGAGAATGGGATCCTTTTTTTAAAAAGGATCGATGCCTCCAAAGAAGGGGGAGGTAAGGATAACTACAGACAATAAAATCCACCATAACAATGTCTGCCTTACCGTAGCACTGTAGGATAGAGTTCAGATGTGTAGATATAAACAATGTTAAATGCTGCACTGATTGTCAGTTTCCCGAGTAAAGATAACGAGGGACTGTTCACAAATGCAAAGATTCCTGTATCTATAGGGAAAAGATATAATTCTTGTAAATACTCCCTTGCAATTAAACATGGCCTCCTTGAATTGGATAGACTGCTCCTGTGGTCAACATGATGGCAAGACATAAGCCATTTTGGCCCACCCTTCAACTAAAGCAGCTGGAGGGAGTTTACTTGCCCAAGAGCCTGCCAGATGAAGCCCAGAGCTGCAAATGTAGCACTAAAGTCAGGGTCCCTAGAACTTTGACCAGAGGACTGTGAGGTAGGTTGTTTGAGGGACCGTTTTCAATTTTGTATTTAGAATCTGTTTTTGGTTGCCAAGGAGCTAATCTGAATTAAATATGGCATACAATATCATTCCAATAAATGTTCAACTAAGCAAAACTCGTGAACAATTCACCTTGGACATTCAAAGAAAGATGTAAACATTTTTTAGAAATAGGAAGAAATATGTATTTCGTGTTGTGCTTAAATAGGAATGGTTTAATTTGGTTTAAAAAACAAATAATAGTAGTAGTAATAATAATAATAATAATAATAATAATAATATTTATACCCCGCCACCATCTCCCCGATGGGAACTCGGAGCAGCTTACATGCGGCAAAAGGCCAAACAACAATTACAATAAAGAAAAACCAAAAACGCAGACCAAAAACACAAACAATAAACAACATCATAGTTACATAAATATGTGAATACATAACAATGTAAAAATTACAATAAGCACAAGCACAATGACAAACAGGCCAAAATGTTATAATGAGAATTTTAGACTGATTTTAGCTCTGAATGTTTAATAATATGGAACGTTTTAAAGGATTTTTGAACCTCTAATACTTGTTTAGTTACGGCTTCTAATTATTTGTATGTATATTTTTATTATGATGTGAGCCACCTTGGGCATGTCCTGGAGAAAGGTGGCATAGAAATCTCCATAATAAATAAATAAAATAAAATACACAATGTATTCAAATATAAACTGCACATGAAATATGAGACACAACCTGATCGATCCTAGTTATCATAAAATGCTAAGAAAATTCTAAATAACAGAAATGTTTACTTTTCTTGAAATATACTTATCAAAAACCATTCTAGGCAAAGAATGAATATTGTGAACCTTACAATGAATGAGAAGAATGAAGTCCAAGCCCACAAAGGGCTAACTGGTTAACTTGCTAATCAATGACCCATTGATGTAGCCAGACTGCATAACTCTATTACTTCAGACTTCAAGCAAGGGCTGAAGTGACCATCCTGCACATGAATGCACATATGTGTGCGCACACACATGCAGATAAAGTTTTATTTTTTCATCGTGAGTGAGTACTTCAAGCAAGTCACACTTCCTGGTTTGAGCAAAACATGTTTTATATAAACAACAGCAAAACTTTTTTACTACTGAACTGGAATTGTGAAGGAAAATTTGTAGTTGTAGCAACACAGCATGTAATCACAGAAAGAAATCGGCAGAGGTTTAGCCAAAGCCAAAGCATTTCTCTCACACGTCCAAGAAGAGATGAACAGCAGAACAAGAAAAAAGATGCTCATGTCTTCCGCTAAAACTGCAATTGTTTCCTTCATCGAATAATCTGACTACAAGAATGAAAAATGGACAGGAAGTATAGCAGATAAAATGAGGTACATTATATGCCGTACATATAACTAAAATGAAGATCTACATATATGAAACCATTTTTAATGTTTTTAATTTTACTGATTCCTTAAACCTAGTCTCTGTAGAAGGAATCCATTTATATATATTCCACTGTAAAGAGATGCTCAAAGGAAGATTTTACTCCTCATATCTTAATGGGGACAATAAACCACACTGGAAGGGCCACCAGCCATTCGCTCTTTTGCTACTGAATCACTCCCACTTTACTAATTCCCCAGGATGAAGCAGTTGCCTCAAGGAGACCTGCGGGCAACTCTCCTATTACAGCAGACACCACAGCAAAAAAGTAGTCCAAGTGGCTCTTCATAGCACACACTCAAAATGCTCAGCTCTATCAGGTCACTGGGAACTATGCTAACTATGCTTCGACAAAAGTTGCCAGCCTGATTCCTTACCCTAGGGGCTAAACTGTACCAAATGACTCAAGCTGAGAAGAATGTGGCTGAGTTGGCCATCAAAACCGCCTTTGCCCCAATAGAATGTATTTGATCCACCTCCGCCAGCGCTGCCTTGGCCTGAAAGCAAACCTGAGATTTTCATAGTGCCCTAACACTGCCAAAAAGGAAGAAAAGAGAAATTTTTAGCCAAAAGACAAACTGAACGTCTTCAGCTCCTAGTTTCAATAGAAACATACCATGCAACTTTCCATTAACTAGCCACAGAATTTACAATGTAATAAAAACAAATAGGTATAGTGGCAACAAAATCCATGTGCATTAAAGAATTGCAAAAGAAAAATAGATTTTATACATGTTGAGCAGGATTGAAACGTAAGGCCTATGTCCTAAACATGAGTTTTGCTACAAGCGCACAACTCTACAGTAATTCCTAAAAAAGACAACATGTATGAAGAAGTTTTGAATTTTCTACATGCAGATGTCATAAGGAAGAGCTGCAGACACACTTCTTGGGCTTATGGGTCAAATCGTCAGAGGCAGTCTGTCCAGCCATCCATCTATCTATATATGAGAATGACTGCTCTCAACACTTAGAATATGATTACCTTTTTTTTCCGGAAGAAACGTAACAACAATAGAGGCCAGCCCACCCAGGAACAAAAATGTGGCAAGCGTCCGCTTCCGGCCAAACCTAAAAAGCCAGAAAGAAAAGAAATAATGAAAATGTCCTGTGAGAAGAAAATAAAACAGGTTGTCTTTGCATCATGGGTTATAGTACAGCAAGTCAATCCTTCTGTATTCATCACATAATGTTTCCTTCCTTTTTTTGGTTTTAGATTTTAAAAATCTAAAACATCTATGACTTTAGAATCTCTAACACTCCTAGGAAGGCTGACTGGTCCAGAAGTTAGGAGGGATTCATAAATCTGCCAATAACAAAGAGGGTTCAAATTATTAACAGGCTTTACACTTTTGCTTGCAACCTCCTACAACGAAGAAAGCTTGAACTGCTGTATGTGAATTAATCTTCTTCAACAATAAATTTCAAAAGGAGATTTCAGACTGAAATGAATTAACTTTCATACATTCATTTTCTTCATTTTCTTTTTATGTCAAAGAGCTGGTGTTGTCCATAGACACCTCCAAAGTTGTGTGACCGGCATGACTGCATGGAGCACTGTTACCTTCCCGCCAAAGTAGTACCTATTGATCTACTCATATTTTGCATATTTCTGAACTGCTAGGTTGGCAGAACCTGGGCCTAACAGCGAGAGCTCACCCTGCTCCCCAGATTCGAGCCATCAACCTTTCGGTCAGTAAGTTCTCAAACTGTGGACTTATAGGTATTCTACCCCTTGGCACTTAGAAGCCCCATCCAGCAATGTTGATGACAAAGAATCCAGAACTGAAGTTCAAAACACCAATAGAGCCAAAGCTTGAGAACCAATTGATTATATCACTTGTCATCGTGCAAATTGCACATGACTGATATCATACAAGAAAACATATAGAATAATATTGGAATAAAATTATGAAAGTGTCAATTTGTGAATACTGATTGTTTTGCATAACTACATGTGGAGGAACAGCTGTGGTTCAGTAACATTTTGAAAGCCACAGAATTCCCACCTATGCTTTGGAACACGTTTTCTCACTCTGGCCCATGATAATTTTGTACTCTTGTATGCGTTCTCCTTTTGCATGGATTTTTATTATATTGCACGACCAGCTGTAAGGCATTACAGAAAATGCAAATCAAAATAACATGTAGTGTTGCTTTGTTTCAGGAGACCCCAAAGGAAGAAGTAAGGTTTTGAAATGTTACATTTGCACAATTAAGGAGTCTGTTTCCAAAAAGTAAGAAATAAAAAAATAGTAAAATGTGTTAAAGGTGGCAGCACATTGTTAGCTAGGAGTAGAATATTATGCACAGATCAAAGCTATCAAAATGTATGAAACCACTTTGGTACACGTCTCGGAAAATTGCATTTTGTAGCAATATCCTCAGCACTTTTTTTTTATTCCTGTAAAATTTGTTCAGATGGATTTGGTACCTTTTGGAAACAAAGTCCACAATGCCCCTTGCTTATATGTAATATCACATCATATGATAAATACATATAACTGTTTAAGGTGTCACTAAATCTTATCATTCCAAGATACAAAAGCAAAGCTCCAGAATCTGGTAAAGAACGGTTATCTGATTTGTCATATATTGCATTCTTTGATACATTGATTTAATCCATGTACCTGACATGAAGCATGCAGCCCCCATGTTTTATATTCATTTCTAGTTACCTTCAGGTTGGATAACTGTAACGCACTCTACGTGGGGCTGCCCTTGACGACGGCCCAAAAACTACAGTTGGTGCAAAGATCTGCAGCCAGATTACTAACGGGAGCTAGTTACAGGGAGTGGTCTACCCCCCTGTTTAAACAGCTCAATTGGCTGCCAATAAGTTTCCGGTCCCAATACAAAATGCAGGTGATCACCTACAAAGCCCTAAACGGTTCGGAACCTGCCTACTTTGCAATTGCATCTTCCCCTACAAACGCTGGTTTCCTTACGAACGCACTCTAAGATCCTCTAGGGAGGCTCTTCTCTGTCTCAAGCATGGTTGCTGGGGATGAGGGAGAGAGCTTTCTCTGTGGTGGCCCCTTGGCTCTGGAATCTCTCCCTAGGGAGATCAGACAGGCTCCCACTCTCTCCATTTTCCACAAGGAATTAAAAACTTGGTTGTTCCATTGTGCCTTTGACTAGGCAGTTGACTAGAAAATTATCCCGATCTTATCTAAGCTCCTGCACTTCAGTTGGCCTTTTCTTATACTTAGGGCCTTCTCGGTGGTGGCCGCCCGACTCTGGAACTCACTTCCCAAGGACATCAGGCATGCGCCAACTCTGGCAGTCTTTAGGAGGAGCCTGAAAACGTGGCTGTTCCAGTGTGTCTTCCCAGAATAAGGAAAATTCTCAGCAATATGCCCTCAGAATGCACTTTACTACTGGTTTAGGATTGACTGCTTTCCCTCATCTCTCTTTGAAAAACCTATACCAGTTATATCCTACCTTGTTCATGCCCAGCGTTTTTTAATTTTAAACTTTTACATTTGGCCTGGCCATAGCTTTTTAATCTTTGTGTGTTTATTGGTTATTGTTTATATGCGATTTATTTTAATTGTATTGTATTTATTGCTTTTGTTTATTGCTTTTGTTTATAGATGTTGGGCTCATGTAAGCCGCTCTGAGCCCCTTGGGGAGATGGTGGCGGGGTATAAATAAAGTTTTATAATAATAATAATAATAATTATTATTATTATTATTATTATTATTATGACAAAGGCATTATCCTGGCAACCCAGCCCTTTGACTATTGCACTTTCCCTCGGCTTTATCAAGGAATCATTGCACTTACTCTGAGTCTGAACCCAGCTTCAATTTGTTGGCCAGCCAGGGTATTGTTTTATGATGTTAATTGATTTTAATGTTTTTTATTACTTGTTGTTATTGATTGTATTTTACTGTGTCTGTTTTCACTTGTAATCCTTGGACAAGCCCCTTTGTAAGCCGCCCCGCGTCCCTTCAGGGAGATGGAGGCGGGGTATAAAAATAAAGTTATTATTATTCTTTCTGAAAATCAAAATAAGTTGCATTCAAAAGAAAATGCAAGCACCTCACACATGCAAGTGAAATAAATGTAGATTTTGTCTACTCCCTTTTATGCTGGATTCAAATCCAGCATCTATAGCAAAAAAGCTAACGCTACAATGAGAACAGTTACTAAGGTATATAGAAGGTCTTACTGGCACTCAACACTCACCATTTCTGGTTGATCAAGTAGATACAGAGGGGGTATGCAGGAATTTCTATTAGCCCAGAAAGAGCCAGGTTAGCATAGAGGCTGCCACCCAAATCACCCACATTGAGAGTAAGACCATAATAAACCAAGCTGCATACAAACCTGCAGAAGGAAGAGATGTAACATGAAAAGTGGGCTCTTCTAGTTGCAAGTCTACAGAGTAAACATTACCTTAAAAGCAGACAATGGTATTATGAATTCCAAAAGATGAAACCCATTGCCTCCACCCCTACATCAGAATAACCAATGCATGAAGTGAGAGTGATACAAACAGGATAATCAAATTCTAGCACCTGGTGCACGAACCATTCTCTCAAATTATTTTCATGCATAACCTTTCAGAAGCTCGCCATTCACATAGGGACAATCCCTGTTAATCTAAATGGCAGATGGAAACTGAGCAGACCAGCACATTCAACAGTCTAAGGGCATATAAAATGCTCTTCAATTGCACTTTTGTATTTCCTCCTTAACTGCAGTGTGAAGCTGCTCTCTAAATGCCTGCACTGACCACCTTCTCTCCAGATAACTTTTCCTCGATATTTGCTTCTTTTGGGAAGGTAATAGAAAAAATATTCCGATCTGACCTACAAACCACAAGCCACACCTTTTTGGTTTTTATGAGGCTATAATAAAAACTAAAAATGTGCTCAGTTTTATTCCACCACCTGGAAAATGCAGTGATTTGGGGTATTAAAATTTGGTCAAGATTAGTCTCTAATGGTCAATATAAAAATCCTGCTTCCATTAATATGATCTTGAACAGAAGTTCAAAGGTGGTGTGAAAGAAACAAGCTATAACTATGTTACAACTGCTGAGGAAGTAACTAGTGTTACACTGGTGTTATAACACATGATACTGCCTATCTGAGATGTGTCACATGAGCATTAGTTCTGCAAGTTGAACAGAAGAAGAAAAAGCAAAAATTAAGTTATAGCTGGTATGACACCTCCTTCCTTTCTTCTTTCTGGGCAGTTGGACAGTGCATTCCCAAAATATGCTCACATGGTTCTTTGTCATTCACCTCTCAAGAGAATACCATGAAGTCTGAGATGCCTGCACTTGTAACAGGGGCTTCATTCCCATCTGAAGCCATTTTGCTGTACCAAATGCTACAGTGTGACATCAAGAATGATATGCAGTTTTCTCAAAACCTCCGATGTTGCTGAAGCCGGGACTTGTCAGGAGAAATCCTGCTCTCACAAGACTTGAGGCATGGTTTCTATAGGCTGCCTTACGTCTACTGGCAATCTTAAGATAAGCAGGCATCGGAGAGAGTTAAGATGCGTTTGTGTTTGAAAAACATGACAACCCTATATTTAAATAGCAGTGTAAGCTGCATTTTCAATCTCAAGGGAGTTCAAGTACCAGATGAACATCATGATCAGTGTACGTCCCAAAAGGATCTTGTATCGGAAAAGGTCAAGAATGCTAGCAGCCACTCTATGGCTCCGTTCAGCTGGCAGCTTAAGTGAAAAAGTGCACTTTGGCTTTCGATTCCTCTTTGCAATGAGGTAGAGGGAATCTTCTGCTTTATTCAGTTGACCTTGTGAGTACAACCAACGAGGTGACTCTGGAATGAATCTAAGGAAGAAAAAAACACAGTTTATGGGTGATGTCTGTGACATTTTACTATTTAATATTGCTAGTTAAATACTACCTTTAAAAAAATGGTTTATTTTGGTTATGGTACATAACAGAAAAGCAATCTTTAATATATAAAAAGCTTCTGTGCGCCATGAGTACGTTAAAAATGAAAAAAGTACAGGGCAAAATATCACCAAATTTGGCCTCAAAATGCCTCATACCCCTAGGTATGAGCAATAATCATAAAAATTAAAAGAAGCCACCAAAAAGAAATAATAATTTTTTTAAAAATAGAGGACAACATAGAGCATGTGCGCAGGGGTAGGGAGGGTGCACACGAACAGGAGAGCTCCTCCATCGTCTCTCTCTCTCTCTCTCACCTCGACTAAACAGTCCTCCTTGCTCTGGCCACTTGCTTTCCCCGCCCCCGTTTGCTTTTCCTCATCCCTGAAAGAAGCAGCAGCCGGCAGGGAAGGAAGTCCCGCTGCTCAGAGGGAGGGAGGGAAGGAGGGAGCCCTGCAGGGGGCTGCTGTGCTACTGGCAGTGAGGGCAGAGTGGTGTGTACATTACTGCCAGCTCCAACAGTGCAGGAGGGAGTCAGTTTGGGGAGACGTGGGCCTTAAGCAGCTGCACAAAACTGAGCACTCCCCCTCCCTTTGCCCGTAAAGGTGTGTGTGTTCATGTGCCTGATACAGATTATTATTAAGCTGAGGCTGGCCATCTGTCAGGAGTGGTTTGATTATGTTTATCCCTTATGGCAGAAGAAGCTGGACTGGATGGCCCTTGGAGGTCTTTTCCTATCCTAGGATTCTATTATTATTATTATTATTATTATTATTATTATTATTATTATTACTACTATTATTATTATTACTATTATTAACCAGTCTGAATGGCCATCTGTCAGGAGTGCTTTGGTTGTGCCCCTTATGGCAGAAGGGGGCTGGATTGGATGGCCTTTGGAGGTTTCTTTCTACCCTACTATTCTATTATTACTATTATTAACCGAAGTCTGAATTTCCATCTGTCAGATTGCTTTGGTTGTGCTTCTCCCATATGGTAGATGGGGCTGGACTAGATGGCCCTTGGAGGTCTCTTCCCTCCCCATCCCTTCCCCTTCTGGGCTTGGTGTCACCGCCTAAAGGATCCCTGCTTGGCACAGAGGCAAGAAGGCAAGCAGGCCACTTAAGCCCCACAGAGAGAGAGATAAAATGACTGAGAGAGAAAGGAAATCCTTGCAGCAGCAGCAGGAGGAGGAGGAGGAGGAAGAGGAGGAGCCTGACAGGTCAAGGCCACCCCTGAACATCAACAGAGTGCCTCAGGAGAGCGCTGTGTGTTGGTGAAGGCAATTTTATAGCACTTGTGGCCTTTTAAGAAGGGAAAGGAAAAGACACCACTGTAGAATTACAGGCAGTCTTCAACCTACGAACAAGATCCGTTTTTTAGGTTAACTCTTTGGTTGCATTTGTATTGAAGGCCCCTTCCACACACCTGGAAAAAAAACCCACATTACCAGCCTTCACATGGAATATATGGTAGTGTAGACTCAGGGCCCTTCCACACAGTCCTCTATCCCAGAATATCAAGACAGAAAATCCCACATTATCCGAGTGTGGACTCAGAAAACCCAGTTCAAAGCAGATATTGAGGGATTTTCTACCTTGATATTCTGGGATATAAGGCTGTGTGGAAGGAAGGAAAGAAAGAGGTAGAGAAGGAAGAAAGCAGAGAAAGGAAGAAAAGAAGACAGGGAGGGAGGGAAGGAAGGAGAGAAAGAAAGGAGGAAAATTTGGCCACAGCAACGTGTGGCAGGTACAGCTAGTATATAATAAACATATACAAACTGACTTTGTAAAGCAGAATGAAACTGCTTTACAAAATATTCAAATAAATTTGAATGTGCAAATATTAGACATCAACTTTGAAAAAGCAATGTAAATGCAAGAAAATGATAGCATTAGGCACTGACACAATTCAACTACATATAATTAAACATTATCATAGTATAATGAATAATGAATATGCAACCTTGTGTTTCTGCAATATATTTAGCAATTACTGTTCAAAGTTTTTGTATTTGTGCTCCAAATACTGCCTCTCTGTCTTTTCCCCTCTAGTTTATTTTTCAACTTGCAGTTGCACCAAAAGCAACTTGCAGTTTCTCAAGTGGCTCCTGACATGAAAAAAAAAAATTTTTTTTCAACAATCTCAAAAGTAATTTAAAATTGTGAGAGTTTTAAATGTTTACATCTGTAGCTAACTTAGGTTGCACTACTCATGCTTATCTGGAAGCAATCCCTATTGAGTATGCTGGAGTCTATGCACCATACCATACACCTATCTTCAGTTAATGGCAAGCAATACAAAAGACTATGGCATGGAAAGGGCCAGCGCTAATGTTGCTAATACCCACACTGCTTTTGCCATCAACGCAGACATGAAAGGCTAGTTTACACCATTGTTCTAACAAAGGCAGAGACTGGCTTAAAGAACTAAAATGACTTCACAAGCCTGTTTTCCTGCAATTTCTTGTCTTTCATTTTTCTCCACTGCTTGAAGTGTTTCCAACATTTAATTTGCATATGAGCTTAGTTAAACACCTTGCTTAAAGGGAACTGGAAAAATACACCTTCCCTTTCTTTATTGTACACAAAAGCAAATTAATTTCTAAACAGTGTGAAGCAGCTGGAGGATTTGAAATGCAATCTTCTTTCATCAGCACACCCACCACCAAGTTTCCATTCCAATTTTATCACCCTTTTGGCTGAGGTAAGCAGAAGATGAACTTGCTTGTGTTTCTCATGCCAATCCTACACTGTGAGTTATGTAAACCCTGTAACTAGGCTTCATTTGGAGGATTTACATTTTCCTCTTTGATTACTGCAAGGGTAAAAGTAAATATATCAGTTTAAGAGTGATGGCAGCAGCTTCAGTGCTACTATGCAACTCCTCCCATGCAACCCGTTCATATTTTCCTGAGTTCTGAATAAATGTTTCAAAAGTAATTCTGGCTCAATAAGGAAAAGCCAGAATTACAGTACAGACAAAGAACCGAGGTGTTTAACTAAGCTCATATGCAAATTAAATGTTAGAAACACTTCAAGCAGTGGAGAAAAATGAAAGACAATGTTCTTAAATGCCTGGGTCTATCTTCCTGCTAACTGCTGTCAACCAGAAACCTATCTGTAAACAGTAGCTTTCAGATTATTAATTCAGCAGAGAAAAGCCACAATATATACACAATTTAAATTATGGGAATTTTGATAGCATGCAGCTGCTAACATCAGAGTTTGGGACAAGCAATATGAGTAAGGACAAAGCAAGAATGAACCACAAAATGTACAAGGCTAGAAATGGCAAGAAATGGAGAAGACAGCAATATTTCCAATGCAGATTTAGGGAGAATAATGGATAAAAGATAATAGTGATTTCACCCAGGGCCTAGGTCACCCACAGACTGTGTCAACAGAATTGTGCCTGTAAAATTCCAGATGCAGTATTCCCTTTCTACCCAGCACTGATAAAGCGACATCTTGAATTGTGTTTCCAGTTCTCAGAGTACACTTTAAGGGAGACATTACCAAGAAACGAAGGAAGGGCTATTAAAATGAAAGAGTCCATAGGACCAATGCTATAAAAAGAGAATAAAACCATATCCAACCCTTGAGAAACTATAAATAGAGAGGAAGAAGAAGCACTCTTTAAACATGGGTGAAAGAAGAAGGAATTATTCAATGCAGCAGTTCTCAACCTGTTAACAGATATTACCAGAACAATTAAAAGATGCATAACTTACAGAGAGAGGAGAAATACTATTGATCCCTCCAGGTTAACCACAACTGCTAGCATTCTCCAGGAGCGAATGAGATATCCTAACAAAGCAAACTGGGCAATTCCCACTGCAAAGAACAGGCCACCAATTGATCCTAACATATAAGGCAGATAGGGGAAAATGTTACTGACCATTTAACAATGTCTCCGAACATAAGTACTTTCAAAGAACAGTGCTAAGCATGGAGGGCTATCCAAATAAAAAACAAAAACAAAAACTGTAAAAGATGGAGGCTTATACAGCTAATCAATTGGGGTGGGGGACAAGATAAACAATGATGACCACAGGAGCTTATACTATTTTACTGCATATACTATAAATTGTTATGGGCAGTGCATTTTACATAAAGAGTAGTGAAAGGCAAAAATAGATATTGCTATTTAAAGACATAATAGAATGTTAAATTGATTCCAAGCAAGATCTGATTATGCATGTTTTTGTTCAAGAAAACGAACTGGAGAGAAATGCAGACAACAACATACTCAGACCATTAATTTAGTGATAATAACTCCTCCTAGTCTTACAATAAAATTACTAGACATATAAATTTATTAGACACATAGCCATGTGCTAGACAATTTTTCTAATATATCTATATACTTCCGAATTATTTGTCATTCTTGCAAAGGTTTTAATCTAAAATGATGTTGACCTGGCAAATTCAGAACTATTTTTGGAATTTTTCTCAGGCTTAGAAGCATAGCATTTCCATTTCTAGATGGTCAACTTCAGGGGGACAGAGCATGCCAATCTCTATAAGAACATGTCCTCTATCAATAGAGAGGGAGGTTTCTGCATGCTTGGGTGAATCCAAAAGTATGCAGAAGAAAAAAAACGTACAACCCAGATGACAGATTTTTGGAAGAAGTCCCTCTCCCCATGTGTACAGTGCATACTTGACTCATCAAGATATCTTGCCACAAATATCTAATAACAACCGAAGTCATGCTTCCAAAAGCAATGATGTTGGATCCTGGTTTGGAGAAGGCTGAATGAGTGGTTGGGAAAGGTAGATTAACCAGAAGGGGGCTGGATCAGATGAACAATGAACCCAGAAACTGGAATGAGAGGCAATGTGAAAGGGAGCAAATGACCAAATTAATACAGATAGAGCACGAACAGAAGCTGGAAAAAGGGGAAATAGCAGGAAACCAAGCAAAAAGAAAGAAAGAGGTGCAAAGACAACAGGAAGAGGAGATTCCAGTGTGGAAGGGAAGTAAGAGACAGGAGTGTGTGACTGAGTTGGGCAACAAAAACATGGGTTAATCAATGCATTATTTTGGCACCTTACATTGCACAATAACAACCAAAACTGGTAGGCTCAATGATTCACTGTAATTTAAACTAGACTTCTGCCAACCTAAAACCTTTCAGATGTGGGGGATGACAACTGCTGCACTCTAAGTGAGGATGTCTATGCTGGGTATGCGTAATGTGTAAGATGGGATTACTGTCCCAACACATCTAGAAGGCACCAAAAGTTGGCTGTTTTTAAGTATTTTGGGATAGAGCACAGAGAAACAGTCATATTTTAAGGGGCTTAAAAATCGTTCTTATATTTAACTAGCCGTCCCCTGCCACGCGTTGCTGTGGCCCAGTCTAGTGATCTGGACAATAAAGTAATGAGAAAGTGTTAATTTCTAATATAGGTAATGCCTTTCTGCTTGTGGGTAAACAGTATTTCTTGCTGTTTCTTTGTCAGTGCTGATGTGGAGATTGTCTGGTTAGCTTACTCTGGAACATACAACATATAATTGTTCTTCTTTAAAATCTATGATACTTTTAAATCTATGATACTATATCTCTCTGTGTGTGAATCATATATATCTATCTATGGTTGGATGGCTCTTTGTCAGGAGGGCTTTGATTATGTTTTCTTGCCCCGGTGAATGGAGTTGGACTGGATGGCCTTAAGTATTTTCTGTTGGTCATGGAGGTTCTGTGTGGGAAGTTTGCCCAATTCTGTCGTTGGTGGGGTTCAGAATGCTCTTTGGTTGTAGGTGAACTATACATCTCAGAAACTACAACTCCCAAATGTCAGGGTCTATTTCCCCCAAACTCCATCTGTGTTCATATTTGGGCATATGGAATATTCGTGCCAAGTTTGGTCCAGATCCATCATTGTTTGAGTCCAAAGTGCTCTCTGGATGTAGGTGAATTACAATTCCCAAATTCAAGGCCAATGCTGACCAAACCCTTCTACTGTTTTCTGTTGGTCTTGGAAGTCCCGTATGCCAAGTTTGGTTCAATTCCATTGTTAGTGGAGTTCAGAATGCCCTTTGATTATAGGTTAACTATAAATCCCAGCAACTACAACTCCCAAATGACAAAATCAATTTTTGAGTGATGGTCACTCGTTGGCCTGATAGGCGTATTCTGCCTAAATTTGGTGTCAATTCGTCCAGTGGTTTTTGAGTTCGGTTAATCCCACAAAAGAACATTACATTTTTATTTATATAGGTGTTTTTTTTGCAGGGGAAAGGATATCTTTCTTATTCTCATCAGAGGATTTCTAGGGAAAGTGAACCCACTCATTAAGGCAACTAAATTTCTTAGTGAACTAACTGGAGCCCAAATGGCAAACAAAAGCTGTTTCCTCCCAGTAAATATCAAGTTAGCCAATTAGTACTGTTGTTTGTTTGTTTATTTATTTACAATATTTCTATCCCACCTTTCTCGAACCCGAAGGTGACTCAAGGCAGCTTACAACCTTAACAGACATTTTTTAAATGTTTACTTAACAGACGTTTTTAAAATTTTTACTTAACAGGCATTTTTTAAAATGCCCTTTCTAAATAATTGGCACATTTATCATGGGAAGAATATTCATAAAATTACAATGTTTATTACATATGCATTTTGCTTGGAATCAGCAGACAGAGGCCAAAACTAGTGATGATATTTTTGAATATATAAAAACTGAAGAGCTCAGCTGCTAACATGTGAATCTGCAGAGCTTCATTACTGTCCATACAAAGAATTTTTAAAACCCAGAACTATTTAATATAATATCATATATATCATGTACTTTGCAAGATCATATTTTTAACCCTGTGTACAAATAGTGGGAAGTCTGGATTCATTAGAACACTTTATAACAGTGTTTCTCAAACTGCTCCTCCAGGTGTTTTGAACTTCGGCTTTCAGAAATCCTAGCCAGCTTACCAGGTAAAATATATGTGTGTGTGTGCGTGAATTTTACAGTAGATATAATGAAATAAATGAGAAAAAAAGTTTAAGTGCTTTGGATATTATATGTCTGCTGTATTATAAATGTATTGATTTATTTTATAAAAATTAAAATATATATTTTGAAAAAAGGAATTGTGGGAGCCAAAGTCCAAAACATCTGGAGGAGCACAGTTTGAGAAACTCTGCCTTACAACATGCATAGAATTCCAAAGTTGGAAAAGACCACAATGACCATTCTACCATGCTGGAAGACACAATCCAAGCCCTCCTGACAGATGGCCATCTCAGTCTCTGTTTAAAACCCTCCAGAGAAGGAGACTCCATCTCACTCTCAGACAGCAACACATTCCACCATCAAACATCTCTCGCTGTCAGGAAACTGAGGTGAAGTCCCTTTTCTTGATGTTTAAATCAGTGTCTTGGTCTCTAGAGCAGCAGAAAATAAGCTAGCTCCACCTTCAATATAACATTATTTCAAGTATTTAAAGATGACTATCATGTCCCCTCTTATGTATATAGAAAAAATGACCTGCACCTGACATACTATATGTCATGGATCAGTGGTTCCCAACTTCAGCCATCACAATTCCTAACAGCTGGAAAGTCCAAAACAACTGGAGGACCAAAGGTTGGGAACCATTGTCATAGACCATGGGTGTATGAAGTACAGACAAATGCACCTACTGATTTCATAACATTAAGAAAAAGCCCTCATGCATATAATGAGCCAAATGAATCACAAATAGACATAAGGTAATCAAAAGCTGTACCTGCCAAAGCCCAGTAAGCAGTGCCCACACATTCATTCAGCAAGACAAAAGCCACCAGGGACATCCCACCATTCATTACTCCCACCAAGAAGCGCGAGACTGCAAAAAACTCATAGGAGGGAGAGAATCCATTAGCAGCAGCAAAGATGATGTCAAGGCCAAAACCTGGAAAGCAAAGAAAAAGTTTTTCATTATAAGTATTCCTAAGAGCAGATAATTTTTTCCAAAGTTACTGTATATACTCAAGTATAAGCCGACCCCAATATAAGCTGAGGAACCTAGTTTTACCACAAAAGACTGGGAAAACTTATTGACTCGACTATAAGCCGGGAGTGGGAAATGCAGCAGCTACTGGTAAATTTCAAAGTAACAATAGATACCAATAAATTTACATTAATTGAGACATCAGTAGGTTCAATGTTTTTGAATATTTACATAACACTGTAATTTAAAGATAAGATTGTCCAACTCTGACTATACTATTATTCTAACCTTCTTCAATGTAAGCCATAAAAAAGACTCCAGCAAAGCACTCCAGCAAAAACATGCGGGGAATGCGGAAGTACTTCATCAGTGTCACAGATGGACGATGAAAGCGACAGCTCCCCTGGTGGCCAGAAAAGTTAAATAGCCTCTGACTGTCTGTCTATATGTGTTGTGTGTCTTTGGCATTGAATGTTTGCCATATGTGTGTACATTGTAATCCGCCCTAAGCCCCCTGCGGGGTGAGAAGGGCAGAATATAAATATTGTAAATAATTAATAAATAAATAAGTGTGCTTACATATCCTTCCAATAAAAATAGAGAAAAAAATAAATGTAATAACAATGATAGATTAAAATAAATGTAGTAACAATAATAAAGAATAAAATAATAAATGTAATAATAACAGTAATAATAAATGTAGTAATAATAATAATAATAATAATAAATTGAGTAAAATAATAGCTGTAATAACAATAAAATAATAATAATAAATAGAAGGTCCACAGATGATAGATAGATGATAGATAGTAGGCCTGGGCGGTTTCGTTCGTTAATTTTGTAATTCGTTAAATATTCGTTATTTTAAGCATTTACGAAACGATTACAAAACACATTTTCAAACCCGGAAGGGTTTTAAAATAACGAAACGGCATCCCCCATACTTTTAACGAGCTTCCGCCCGTTTCGTAAATGGGATGGAGGATGCTGGTGCCCTGGGAGCCAATCCGGCGCTCCCAAGCACCCAAGCAGTGCACCGTGGCTGTTTCTGATTGGCCGGCAAGCCCTTTAAAAGCGGCTCCGCGCGGCCGTACAGCTCATTGTTGCAGAGGCGAGGGAGAAGAGAAGAGGTCCGGGAGGGTGGCTTCTGCATTGGGTTGGCTTGCAACTGGCTAAGCTTGGATTGGATTCATTCCTTGCTTATTCATTCCTTGCTTGGATTCATTCCTTGCTGCTTATTATTAATTCCTTGCTTGGATTCATTCCTTCCTTCGGTTTTTGTCAATTTGTTTGTTAATTTTCCATTTTTAATATTTTTTAAAAATACCTGTCTTTTATTCTTAAAAAAATACAAAAAATATTCTTAAAAAAAAAGACTCTTCTGTTGGTGTGTGCTCTCGTTTGCCCTGTCTCGTGGCTGTGTTTGCTTCATATCAGGGCCAGTTTTTGGTTAATTTTCCATTTTTGAATATTTTTTAAAAATACCTGTCTTTTATTCTTAAAAAAAAACAAAAAATATTCTTAAAAAAGAAAAGACTCTTCTGTTGGTGTGTGCTCTCGTTTGCCCTGTCTCGTGGCTGTGTTTGCTTCATATCAGGGCCAGTTTTTGGTTAATTTTCCATTTCTGAATATTTTCTAAAAATACCTGTCTTTTATTCTTAAAAAAAATACAAAAAATATTCTAAAAAAATAAAACAGTCTTCGGTGGCTGTGTGTGCGTTTGTCATTTGTGTAGTTCCAACCAGTGTGCTCCTTTTGCCAACACAAAGTGCTACATACACTGCTCGCTCATTTGTGTAGTTCCAACCAGTGCGCTCCTTTTGCCAACACAAAGTGCTATAATACAGTGCTTGCTCATCATTTGTGTAGTTCCAACCAGTGCGCTCCTTTTGCCAACACAAAGTGCTATAATACAGTGCTTGCTCATTTGTGTAGTTCCAACCAGTGCGCTCCTTTTGCCAACACAAAGTGCTATAATACAGTGCTCGCTCATTTGTGTAGTTCCAACCAGTGCGCTCCTTTTGCCAACACAAAGTGCTATAATACAGTGCTTGCTCATTTGTGTAGTTCCAACCAGTGCGCTCCTTTTGCCAACACAAAGTGCTACATACACTGCTCGCTCATTTGTGTAGTTCCAACCAGTGCGCTCCTTTTGCCAACACAAAGTGCTACATACACTGCTCGCTCATATTTGTGTAGTTCCAACCAGTGCGCTCCTTTTGCCAACACAAAGTGCTACATACACTGCTTGCTCATTTGTGTAGTTCCAACCAGTGCGCTCCTTTTGCCAACACAAAGTGCTACATACACTGCTCGCTCATTTGTGTAGTTCCAACCAGTGCGCTCCTTTTGCCAACACAAAGTGCTATAATACAGTGCTTGCTCATCATTTGTGTAGTTCCAACCAGTGCGCTCCTTTTGCCAACACAAAGTGCTATAATACAGTGCTCACTCATTTGTGTAGTTCCAACCAGTGCGCTCCTTTTGCCAACAGAAAGTGCTATAATACAGTGCTCGCTCATTTGTGTAGTTCCAACCAGTGCGCTCCTTTTGCTCATTATTTGTGTAGTTCCAACCAGTGCGCTCCTTTTGCCAGTGCTATAATACAGTGCTCGCTCATTATTTGTGTAGTTCCAACCAGTGCGCTCCTTTTGCTCATTATTTGTGTAGTTCCAACCAGTGTGATGAAACGCTTCCTTCCCGGCTTTTCTAGTCGCAAGGGCCAAGTGCTATCGCGAATACCGAAGAAAGGCAGGGGACTGAAGATGAACACATTGACAAGAAGGGAACATTCATCCAACGAGATGGTTATTGAAACACCCACAGATGCTTCAACCAGCTGTGAGATGGCAGAACCTTCTTCTTCATCAGTTCGAAAGACTCTACGTTCAGATCCTGATGTCGTTCCAAGTACCTCTGATATTACTTGTTATGAAGAGGAGGGCGAGGAGGCGGACGTGTCAGAGGAATGGGAGGAAGACAAGATGGAATGTGCTTCCACCACAGGAATTAGTGATCAAGAGGACTGCATGCTGATGGAGGGCGAGCTACAGAAACAACCAACGATTATACTCCCTTCCACAAACACCGACAGTCCAAACACGAGCATGAGTACATCTGAAGTGCCTAGTAGGGGTAGGCCGAGATCACTCCTATGGGATCATTACGACGTCCATAATGAGAGGGCCACTTTGGCAGTTTGCAGGCATTGCAGTGTGAGCGTCAGCAGAGGAAAAGATATGAGGCATCTTGCCACAACAGGGCTAAGGATGCACATTAAGATACACCACCCCCAAATGTGAAGTTGGCCCTTCTTACTTAACTTGCAATACTGCTACAGAAATTAGTATGTATGCAATACTTCCCAGATAATTTTCAGAGTTTTTTCAAAGTGCAATTTCTGTTACTTTTTGTTACTTTTTCTTTCTTTATTTCTTATATTTACTTTCTAAGTTTTTATAATAACATTATTTTTATATATTAATAATTTATAATTTAATTTTATATATTATTTTTATTATTATTTATAATTATATTTTATAAATATTTTATAAATTTAATTATATTTTATTTAAATATTTATATTATATTTATTTCATTTATATAATATATATAATAATATATTATTATATTATATTATTTTATTTTATATTGTATATATTATATAATTTTATATTATTTATTGTTATTATTTATTTTTATTATTATTATTTATTATTATATTTTATTTATTTAAATTTTATTATTATATTATTGTTTATTTCATTATATTATATTATTAAATTGACTCAGTTTTGGATACTTTATCTTATTACTTTTTTATTTAATATCTTAATATCTTGTTTTTGAACAAGGAACGGAAAAGGACTGTGAGAACGGGATCTGATTCTAATTGAGGCGTTGATGACTATGTGTGTTGTTTGTGTATGTGCGTCTTATTTACTGTCAGTGTTGCCCATTTTTATTGTAAACCGCATTGAGTCGCCGTCTCAGGCTGATAAATGCGGTATACAAATGGAGTAAATAAATAAATAAAAATAAATAAATAAATAAATTTTATTTGATTTATTTTATGAAATGATTTTGTTTATAGAGCATTTAGCATTGCGCAATCGCGTCCGCCGTTTTAACGAATCGATTCGTTATTATTTTAATAGCGAATCGATTCGTATTTAATAACGAAGTTTCGGAAGTCGCTTTTGCGCATGCGCAATCGCGTCCGCCGTTTTAACGAATCGATTCGTTATAACCTTAACGAATCGACCCCGCGCCAATAACGAAGCTTCGGAAGTGATTTTGCGCATGCGCGGGGGTCCGCCATCTTAACGAATCAATTCGTAAATATTTACGAAATTTCGTAAATACCGAACTTTTTTAAGGGAAAATTTTGTAATTATTTTAAATATTGAAACAAAAAAACACCCCAATTACAAATCGATTTTAGAAACAAATTTTTGCGTTGTTACCCAGGCCTAATAGACAGCAAGGTTTTGGGCGTCCTGGGGGCGGCAGATCTTCCTTTACGGCAGCTGTGGCAACATATAGACCTAGAAATTGGCCATGCCTGTCAGAAGCATGCACTAAACCCTGATGCTGCTTTGCTTGAAGGCTCCGCTGACCCCTTCGCCGCCGCCCCCCCCCCTCGTCCTCCTTCTCTCTAGCCAGCTGACTGRGGGGAGGGGTGGAGCAACAGGAGCAGTGGTAGCGATGATGGCAGCACTAGAGCCACACTTGTGGGCTCTGCAACCACTGCTCATCCTTTACCTCCTTCCCTGGCCAGCTAGCCGAGCTGGGGGGGGGGGAGGAGTGGCAGGCACAGTGGCGGCACTAGACCCTCACTTGAGGGCTCCGCTGCCACTGCCACCACTCATCCTCTGCCTCCTCCTCCTCCCTAGCTGGCTGGCTGTGAGGAGGGGGAGGGGACACGGTAGTGGAGAAGGCACTGGAGCTTTGCTTGCCATCTCCACTGCTGCTGCCGCCACTTGTCCTCCGCCTCCTCCTCCCTGGCCAGCTGGTTGAGGGGAGGAGGAGGGGTGGCAGTAACAATGGGCTGGAGACATTGGAGCCTGGCCTGAGGACTCCATTGCCACCAGTACCCTTCCACATCCGCTCGCTCCATGGAGGCGAAGGTCAGCCGGCTTTTGAGCCTCGCCTCGAGGCTCCGCTACCTGGCTTGAGTCAAGTATAAGCCAAGAGAGAGTTTTTCAAAGGGGTGAAAATATCAATCTTGAGAAATTGCTAAACAATAACCAGTTTTGAAGATGGTGACTCCAAATCAAGTTCCATCTCTTAACTTATGTTATGTTAATTTAACCTATGTACTATTGCTTTTTGTATTGTTTTAACTGCTACTTGCTGTAAGCTGCCCTGAGTCCCTTCTGGGAGAGGGGTCAGGATATAAATAAAACATCATCATCATCATCATCATCATCATTATTATCATTCAATTTTAACAAATCTGATGACAGTTTCCAGCAGGGTTATCTTGCTTTTAAGAATGACCAGCAATTGCCAACAACAACAACAACAAACAAAAAATGAGCCAGGTTGCAGATTGCTGCCATGTTATCCCTACAGGGTTTTCTAGAAAAAGATACACGCCAGAAGCCTTTAGCCCAAAGGAGATCTTCAGCCCAAAGATGTCTCTCCTGTATTTGCAAGTATAACAAATTAGATTTTACATAAGCCTTCAGCAAAATTCATGTTACTAGAAATTCCTTTCTTTTGCTGCTTACCTACAAGATAGACTTTCTTCCGTCCAAACCGATCAGAGAGTTGACCAAAAGTTATTACTCCAACAAATACACCACTGAAGAAAAACGAACTGGCAGCACTGATCTTGTATGATGTATTGCCAATTAAAAACCACTAGGGGGAGAAAAAACAACATCAGTTAGAAGGCAGAGAAAAAGAAGCTTTCCCTCAAAGCAAAATATTCATTTTAACAGGACAAAACTAACTCTTAATCAGATGCAATCTCCTTCAGTGCCCTTTAGTTAGCAAGGGATATTGAAAATCCAAAAATATTCTACTTATTCATCTTTACAAAATTATGAAAAACTATACAGAATGGTATTGATGCTATTTTAATTGTATCAATGCTATTTGATCAAACAAGCCAATCTATCACATATTAATCTCTTATAGTATCAACAGTGTCAATCAGTTATGTTTCAGTCAATGGGAAAAGGCAATAGGAACTGATCCTGTTAGCCAAAATGCTGAGAAAGGGAGTCCCCAGGAAGCACAAAACAAAGGTTGCCTGGTACACATGATATCAGACACTGGGTTTTACATGGGTGCAAAAAGGCACAAACATAATTTTATTTGAATGTCTAATTAGACTCAGCCTGCAGCATTCGTAGAAATCTGGGAGATCTTTACAGTGCTTGCTATTTCATATTATTTCAGTCAATAAAAGTTTTACAGCTGGTCTACATGTGAAGGTTTATTAATAGATTTGATTTAAATGCTTTCTCTAGCTCCTCCAGCACAACTCAGTGGTCAGCTTCCAGTGGGAGCTGACCACAGAGTCATACTGGAGGACCTAGATATTCCTAGAAAGGTGCTCAAGTTTAAAATGGGTTTTTATTTTCAATTTTCCCACTCTGGGGGGGGGGGGGGGGGGTTTGCTTACTCCCCTAATCCTAGCAAACCTGGATGGCTGGTTGTAACTTTGTAGATTTTGTAATGTTTACTGTCCCCAAATCCTGCTACCTATAGGATAAACACAATAATTACTCCTAAATAAAGTAAACCCAATAAATCAATGTGATTTAACATTTAGTAAATCATTCAATGTGTTTTACTCTATTTGTAATTATGAGCTTCGTAACATTAAGGAGATTAAGTATAACCATGTATGAAATCATTTTGTGAACTTACCTCAGAAGCTATTGATGTAAAATTGCTGCTAAAGTGTATGTGTTTTTGAACTTCACTTTCATTGGCTGTCAGAAGCCACTTCCCAAAAGCTCTTTCTTTATTAATTGACTCATTATTATGACTTTGATTAACTGACATTCCTTGAAGATCCCAGTGATAAGGCGGTGTTGCTCCCACTACTGCAATGAGAATTGCTTCACTAGCTACGAAGAGCTGAAACAATAAGAAATAGAAGCAGTATCAATACCAGAAACAACTACTATCTTCAGGGGAACCAATTCCCTTGATCCTATCTTCTCAACAGCACAAGATTCCATTTCCTTGTGACATCTCAGCACCTTTGCCCTCTTCCTGGCCTTTCTTTTTCCAGTTATGACACATAAGTACAATTCTTTCTTACAGTTTAACAGTAAATTTGGGGGTGGGGAGGGGGTGCAGGAACGAAGTACAGGCAATCCCTAAATTACAAATTCAACTTAAGAACAAACCTACAGAATCTATATTGTTCATAACTTGGCCTGTATATTATTAATCAATAGTTGCGGGGAGAGCACCCTGGCAGAGAAAACACAGTATTACAGGGGACTAACTTGTTTTCTGTCAATTTTAAATCACCCAGACACAATCTTATTCAAAATTTCTACCACACACACTTAAACTCCAAGAAGAGCCATCCATACGGGAAATGACAATCAGCTTGTAGGACTGAAAAGAAAGAACACAAAGGACCTCAAAAGTAACCCTGCCATTAGAGTACATCACATTCACAATTAACACTTCGTACAACAAACATAAAAGACATCCTTTTTGCGTGTAACTCTAACTGATATTTAGGTCTGGATTGGACACCACTTTTCTCTTTTACTGCCAAATGTAAAGAGAGTCACATGACTAAAGAGGAAGTTTGTTCAAATAAGCCAGAATCAACTCATGGTTTATGATTCTGACTTGGAAAACAAGGTGAAGTCAAATTGTATTGTTGAAGGTTTTTGTAGGTTGTTGTAGGTTTTTTCGGGATATATGGCCATGTTCTAGAAGCATTCTCTCCTGATGTTTCACCTGCATCTATGGCAAGCATCCTGAGGTAGTGAGGATGCTTGCCATAGATGCAGGTGAAACGTCAAGAGAGAATGCCCATGGCCATATAGCCCGAAAAAACCTACAACAACCCACTGAAGTCAAATTAGTTGGAAAAGTGAACCGGGGGGAGGAAAGAGCATGCCCTCCTGAAGTTCACCAAGATTTGTAGCATTAAATTCTACTATATCAAACATCACTAGTTCCATTCTAATGTATTTCAAAATGTCCTCTCTTTCTACTATGAGTTCCTTTAGATTGCCAAGGACACTTCCACAAGACATTTTGCCAAAATGGCACGGTTTGAATATTTCCAGCTTCTCCACCAATATGAAATGAACCTCTCATTTTTACTTCTACTCAATCAACTGAAAGTGGGACTGGTGGGAAGTCAGACTATTTAATCAATAGCATGCCAAGATGCCATTGTCTTTGTTCATACCTCAAATACAATATGTATTGCTATGTAAGGTGCCTTGATTGCAAGAGATGCCCTAATTTCAGTTCCACGACTACCAACAAATATACATAAGATATACCTGTGATGCTAAGACGCACCCCAATTTTAGACATGTTTATATAGGGGGAAAGTGTGTCACGGAACTGAAGAAATATAGTCCGTTCACTGGCAGTTGTAAATACCATTCATTTCAGGGTTTTCCCCCCAGTCTTCCTTTGTGATTTCCTTGTTCAAGAACAACCTGTAAATCCTGTTCACATATTAGTGTGTCATCTGCAGTGTGTCGTGTGAACCTGAGTCTGTGTGAAATCAGGAAGTCCCAGAGTTACAAACATCTCACTTACAAATGACTAAGAGATAAAAATGTGGATGAGACAACAATAAGTGAAAGAAATCTACCCCTTGGAACAGAAACCCACTCCTGAAAGTTATTATCATGTGGGAAAGGGGTTTCCACTGAAGCTTTATCACTTATCCTTGTTTCCACAAGTCAAATTTTTCAAAATCCAATTATCACAGGGACAGAAAGTGGAATGAAATAATCTGAACAGGGGCACAGACAGTAAAGGAAACAACGTGGGGTGTTAACCTTTTCCTATGCTATCCAAAGATATAGGCTGGGATTGTTGTTGTTTATTCGTTCAGTCACTTCCACCCATGTCAGAACTCCCTGTCAGCCGTCACCACACCCAGCTCCTTCAAGGTCAAGCCAGTCACCAAGGATACCATCCATCCATCTTGCCCTTAGTCGGCCCCTCTTCCTTTTTCCTTCCGTTTTCCCCAGCATCATTGTCTTCTCTAAGTTTTCCTGTCTCCTCATGATGCGGCCAAAGTACTTCATCTTGGCCTCTACTATTCTTCCCTCCAATGAGCTGTCGGGCTTTATTTCCTGAAGTATGGACTGGTTGGATCTTCTGGTGGTCCAAGGCACTCTCAGAGCTTTCCTCCAATACCACAGTTCAAAAGCATCTATCTTCCTTCACTCAGCCTTCCTTATGGTCCAGCTCTCATATCTCACATGACTATGGGGAATACCACTGCTTTAACAATGTGGATCTTTGTTACCAGTGAAGCGTGATGTCTCTACTCTTCACAATTTTATCGAGATTGGACATTGCTCTCCTCCCAAGAAGTAAGTGTCTCCTGATTTCCTGGCTGCAGTCTGCGTCTGCAGTAATCTTTGCACATAGAAATACAAAGTCTGTCACAGCGTCCACTTTTTCTCCCTCTATTTCCCAGTTATCAATCAGTCTGGTCACCATAGTCTTGGGTTTTTTTTATGTTTAACTGCAACCCAGCTTTTGCACTTTCTTCTTTCACCTTGATTAGAAAGTGCCTTCTCACTTTTGGCCATCAAAGTGGTGCCATCTGCATATCTAAGGTTGTTAATGTTTCTTCCAGCAATTTTCACCTCAGCCTTGCATTTGTCAAACCCCACAGATCGCATGATTTGTTCTGTATACAAGTTGAATAGGTTGGGTGAGCATATACAACCCTGCCGTACGCCTTTCCCAGACTTTTAAAATGTATCTATTCTGGTTTACACACACATTCAACTTAAGAACAAACCTGCAGAACCCATCTTGTTTGTAACTTGGGGTGAGACATATATATATATATACACACACACACACACACATATACTGTATACTAGCCATCCCCTGCCACGCGTTACTGTGGCCCACCTGGGGGTTCAGTGTGGGAGGTTTGGCCCAGTTCTATCATTGGTGGGGTTCAGAATGCTCTGTGACTGAACTATAAATTCCAGCAACTACAACTCCCAAATGTCAAGATTCTATTTTCCCCAAACTCCACCAGTGTTCACATTTGGGCATATTGAGTATTCTTGTAGAATACTTGTAAAACCTACAACAACCCAGTGATTCCGGCCATGAAAGCCTTCGACAATATTCTTGTAGAGTTTGAGTCCACAGTGCTCTCTGGATGTAGGTGAACTACAACTCCAAAACCAAGGACACTGCCCACCAAACCCTTCCAGTATTGTCTGTTGGTCTTGAGAGAACTGTGTGCCAAGTTTGGTTCAGTTCCATCGTTGGTGGGGTTCAGAATGTTTTTTGATTGTAGGTGAACTATAAATCTCAGCAACTACAACTTCCAAATGACAAAATCATTTTTTTTTTGAGTGAAGGACATACATTGGGTTGTTAGGTGTCTTGTGTCCAAATTTGGTGTCAATTCTTCCAGTGGTTTTTGAGTTCTGTTAATCCCACAAAAAAACATTACATTTTTATTTATATAGATAAGAAAAGTTTTCATGAAATATGTTGTGTCCCCATAGTTTCTAACAATTTGCGTACATGTCCATAGTTCTTGGAGAGCAATGTCCAGTCTCGATAAAATAATAAATAGTAGAGACATCAGACTGGCAACAAAGATCCCATAGTCAAAGCCATGGTATTCCCTGTAGTAACCTACGGATGTGAGAGCTGGACCTTAGGGAAGGCTGAGCGAAGGAAGATCGATGCTTTTGAGCTGTGGTGTTGGAGGAAAGTTCTGAGAGTGCCTTGGACTGCGAGAAGATCCAACCAGTCCATCCTCCAGGAAATAAAGCCCGACTGCTCATTGGAGGGAAGGATACTAGAGACAAAGTTGAAGTACTTTGGCCACATCATGAGGAGACAACAAAGCCTAGAGAAGACAATTATGCTGGAGAAAGTAGAAGGCAAAAGGAAGAGGGGCCGACCAAGGGCAAGATGGATGGATGGAATCCTTGAAGTGACTGGACTGACCATGAAGGAGCTGGGGGTGGTGACAGCCGACAGGGAGCTCTGGCGTGGGCTGGTCCATGAGGTCACGAAGAGTCGGAAACAACTGAACGAATGAACAACAACAACCATAGCTCTTACAAGGGGTTGGCTTAACTTCGGCCTGCTAATAGAACCAAGTTACTGTGTCACGAAATGATGCATGCTTTAAAAGCGTGTGGCCAAAAGAGCCCTGTCTTACTGTATGCCTCGGAAAGTTCAAATGTCCTTCAACCATGCTCTTATACGGGGCTGAAGTTTGGGGTCTAAACCAGGTACCATTATTAGAGCAAGCACAATCACAGCACCTGCGAAGTTTTCTAGGAGTGGACAGGACGACCCCAGCTGCCGCAGTAAGAGCGGAACTGGGAGTATATACAGTGGATGGCTTATCTAAAATCAGGGCCTACAACTACTGGGCAAAACTGATTGCCATGGCAAATGATAGACTTCCAAAATTGTGCCTGTTGGAGCAGAAAGAAAATCAACATCAATCCTCTTGGCTAGTTCTCCTGACAAAATATATTAGGAGCTGTGGACTCCTGACTTGGTATCCGAACCTCTTAGAAGAGCTAGACCCAAAAATACTGCAGTCTTTCTTGTTTGTTGTTCATTCGTTCAGTCGTCTCCGACTCTTCGTGACCTCATGGACCAGCCCACGCCAGAGCTCCCTGTCGGCCGTTACCACCCCCAGCTCCCTCAAGGTCAGTCCTGTCACTTCAAGGATGCCATCCATCCATCTTGCCCTTGGTCGGCCCCTCTTCCTTTTGCCTTCCACTTTCCCCAGCATAATTGTCTTCTCTAGGCTTTCCTGTCTCCTCATGATGTGGCCAAAGTACTTCAACTTTGTCTCTAGTATCTTTCCCTCCAGTGAGCAGTCGGGCTTTATTTCCTGGAGGATGGACTGGTTGGATCTTCTCGCAGTCCAAGGCAGTCTCAGAACTTTCCTCCAACACCACAGCTCAAAAGCATCGATCTTCCTTCGCTCAGCCTTCCCTAAGGTCCAGCTCTCACATCCGTAGGTTACTACAGGGAATACCATGGCTTTGACTAGGCGGATCTTTGTTGCCAGTCTGATGTCTCTACTCTTTACTATTTTATCGAGATTGGACATTGCTCTCCTCCCAAGAAGTAAGCGTCTTCTGATTTCCTGGCCACAGTCTGCATCTGCAGTAATCTTTGCACCTAGAAATACAAAGTCTGTCACGGCCTCCACGGTTTCTCCCTCTATTTTCCAGTTGTCAATCATTCTTGTTGCCATAATCTTGGTTTTTTTGACGTTTAGCTGCAACCTGGCTTTTGCGCTTTCTTCTTTCACCTTGATTAGAAGGCTCCTCAGCTCCTCCTCGGTATTGGATATAGAAGGCCAAAAAGACATTGCTACTCTCAGTAAAGCTGGCTCACTGAAATGGTTATGCCGCTTTAAACACACCTTCCAAACAGCTCGATACCTAAAAACAGATATGCCAAAACACCTCAGGAGGGTATTTACCAGAGCTCGTTTTGAGCAGCTGGATTCAATGGTCAAGCACGGAAGGTTTAATCAGGTCCCATACAACGAACGAGTTTGTATTTGCGGAGCATCAGAGGTGGAGGATATCACACATGTTCTGTTCAACTGTGAGCTGTATAAGAGAGAGAAAGGCCATTGCCTTGGACCATACATTAGTCACAAAACACACTGGGACCCACATATTGAAACTTCATTTTTGTTGGCCGGCCAGAATCCTAAAATAACACACAAAACAGCCCTTTTTCTATTCAAAGCAACACAGCTGAGAATTGCACATTTAGAATCAATTGGGGTAAACTGTGGAGGTGACACAGATATTTGACCTGAACGGGATCTGCCAACAGTTTGTTTATTTTAACCTCTTTTATTTTAACCTCTCTTATACCGAGCGTTGTATGTTGTATGACTATGTGTTAAATGTGTTATGTGTTAAATGTGTTATGTGTTAAATGTTTTGATACGGCCAATAGGCCAATCAATAAAACGTATCTATCCTTCAACCGGTTTTTAGATGCTGCCATTTGCAATGTCAGGCTTGAATCCATTCATCCTTTACCTGAAGCCTGTTCTATGTGGAGGGGCCTTGCTGGTATAGGGTGACCTACATCACACTGCAAGGAAGACTCCAGCAATACATGGAGCAAGAGTTGCCAGATGTTCAAGCTGGGTTTAGAAAAGGCAGAGGAACGAGAGACCAAATTGCCAATATCCGCTGGATAATGGAGAAAGGCAGGGAGTTTCAGAAAAACATCTACTTCTGCTTCATTGACTATTCTAAAGCCTTTGACTGTGTGGATCATAATAAATTGTGGCAAGTTCTTAGTGGGATGGGCATCCCAAGCCACCCTGTCTCTCTCCTGAGGAATCTGTACAAGGACCAAGTAGCAACAGTAAGAACTGACCACGGAACAACAGACTGGTTCAAGATTGGGAAAGGCGTACGGCAAGGCTGCATCCTCTCACCCAACCTTTTAACTTGTATGCAGAACACATCATGCGATGTGCGGGGCTGGATGAATGCAAAGCTGGGGTCAAAATTGCTGGAAGAAACATTAACAACCTCAGATATGCAGATGACACCACTCTGATGGCCGAAAGCGAGGAGGAGCTGAGGAGCCTTCTAATCAAGGTGAAAGAAGAAAGCGCAAAAGCCGGGTTGCAGCTAAACGTCAAAAAAACCAAGATTATGGCAACAAGAATGATTGACAACTGGAAAATAGAGGGAGAAACCGTGGAGGCCGTGACAGACTTTGTATTTCTAGGCGCAAAGATTACTGCAGATGCAGACTGTAGCCAGGAAATCAGAAGACGCTTACTTCTTGGGAGGAGAGCAATGTCCAATCTCGATAAAATAGTAAAGAGTAGAGACATCACACTGGCAACAAAGATCCATTGCCTAGTCAAAGCCATGGTATTCCCTGTAGTCACCTACGGATGTGAGAGCTGGACCTTAGGGAAGGCTGAGCGAAGGAAGATAGATGCTTTTGAGCTGTGGTGTTGGAGGAAAGTTCTGAGAGTGCCTTGGACTGCGAGAAGATCCAACCAGTCCATCCTCCAAGAAATAAAGCCCAGCTGTTCACTGGAGGGAAAGATACTAGAGACAAAGTTGAAGTACTTTGGCCACATCATGAGGAGACAGCAAAGCCTAGAGAAGACAATTATGCTGGGGAAAGTGGAAGGCAAAAGGAAGAGGGGCCGACCAAGGGCAAGATGGATGGATGGCATCCTTGAAGTGACTGGACTGACCTTGAGGGAGCTTGGGGTGGTAACGGCCGACAGGGAGCTCTGGCGTGGGCTGGTCCATGAGGTCACGAAGAGTCGGAGACGACTGAACGAATGAACAACAACATCACACTGGACGAAGAGCAAATAAAGGGGCTTCTGGGGATGAGGCTGATGTTCCCCACCCTGGGAGACGACGCCTCCTCCTCCTCCCGCCCCCGCTCTCACCTGGAGCAGCGCCGCCAGTAGGACGCACAGCCAGACCTGGAAGGGCCCTATCTGGCCCACCAGGAGGAACGCCTCTTCCACGTCCATGGCAGCGGCGGTGGCGGGAAAGGCAAGCGCGGCGGCCCTTCCTCTTCGCCTCTTCCTCTTCTTCTTCCTCCTCCTCTTCCTCCCTGCCCCGCGAAGCGCATCACAGCCTCGCCTGCCCTTCACTCACTCGCGCGGAGTTCGGCCCCAGTTGCGTGGCCTGAGGGAAAGAGGAAGGCCGGCGGCAGCAGCAGCGCGCGAAAGAGAACGCGCATGCGCCAACAGCCGGCAGGGAGGGGCATTCTTCCGCTCCTGGCCGTGGGTGGGAGACGCCACTTCCGGGTGGCGCCCCCTTGGCCCCGCCCCCCCGGAGGGAAAACTGACAGGCTGCCTATTGGGAACGAGAGAGAAGACCCGGTTTTTTTTAATGGAAGACGACTCCGCCCTTGCCCCTCCCTTCTTAAGGGCACCATCAAACACACACTGAAAAAAGAGGCAGGGTGAAAGTGGGAGACGTGGCTGCGCCTTTAAGCTTTTTAATGTCTTTGACTTGGCGCCCCTTCTAACCCACCCTTGTCTTCATGTGAAAACAACATGCTGGCTGTTGTTGTTGTTTTTATATAATGCAGGCACTCCTCGTTTCTGGAGCTGGGTTGGCACGGAAGGAATAATAATCATATTAGCGACTTAGAATCATAGAATCATAGAATCCTAGAGTTGGAAGAGATCTCATGGGCCATCCAGTCCAACCCCCTGCCTAGAAGCAGGAATATTGCATTCAAATCACCCCTGACAGATGGCCATCCAGCCTCTGCTTAAAAGCTTCCAAAGAAGGAGCCTCCACCACACAGCAGAGAGTTCCACTGCTGAACGGCTCTCACAGTCAGGAAGTTCTTCATGTTCAGATGGAATCTCCTCTCTTGTAGTTTGAAGCCATTGTTCTGCATCCTAGTCTCCAGGGAGACAGAAAACAAGCTTGCTCCCTCCTTCCTGTGGCTTCCTCTCATATATCTATACATGGCTATCATATCTCCTTTCAGCCTTCTCTTCTTCAGGCTAAACATACCCAGCTTCTTAAGCCGCTCCTCATAGGGCTTGTTCTCCAGACCCTTGATCATTTTAGTCACCCTCCTCTGGACACATTCCAGCTTGTCAATATCATGTTTTAAAAGCTAAAACATGATAATTCTATAATAATAATAATAATAATTCCCTAAAGCTATGCATTTTTGTCCTTGCTTGTCACAGATATTAAAACAATAACAAGAGTTGTTGGTAGCACCGTTCGAAAAGAGGTTGAAGGTAAGAATACAATGGGGAAGCCTCTGTTTAAAAGCTTCCAAAGAAGGAGCCTCCACCACACTCCGGGGCAGAGAGTTCCACTGCTGAACAGCTCTCACAGTCAGGGCTGTAGCCAGAAAAAAAATTCGGGAGGGGTTGAAATTTTCAGGGGGGGGGTTGAAAATTTCGCAGGGGGGTTGAAACCTGCCTCCTAGCTCACGCTGAAGCAAAGAGCACAGCAGGGGGCAGAGCAGCCTTCAATAGTCTGCAGCTCCACCCCTGTCAACCACCTCCACCAAGTCTGGCCTCCTTAATGAGAACATTCAACACACACACCCCACAATGATAGTAATAATAATAATAATAATAAACCTTTATTTGTACCCCGCTACCATCTCCCGGAGGACTCGGTGAGGCTTACAAGAGGCCGAGCCCAAATACAACAGTAAAAACAACAACAACAATACAGCAAAATAACTCAAAAACAAGGCAATAACATTAACAACACACCATGACGCAATTAAAATCTGTGGCAGGGCCAAATGTAATAATTAAAATTAAAAAGTGCTGGGCATGACCAGGTGAAAAGGGTAGGTGTTTGGAGGGGGATGGGCATGCAGTTATCCTGGCTGGGGCTTGCCTGATGTCCTTAGGGAGAGAGTTCCAGAGTCGAGAAAGCCCTCTCCCTCGTCCCTGCCAATTGCACTTGCGATGCAGGTGAGATCGTGAGTAGGGCCTCTCCAGATGAACGAAGAGATTGTGTGGGTTCGTACACAGAGATGCGGTCACGCAGGTAGGCGGGTCCCAAGACAGTGTGAATAAATTGTCAATATTTGCCTGAGATAGTGCTTGCAGTTCTGGAGGGACTCTTAATTTTTTGCATCTCATAGACTTAGCATGGGGATTTGGTTAACCAGTTAAAATTCATGAGTAAACCAGGTTTTTTTTTAACCTGAAAAATGACCCTCCACCACACTCCAGGGCAGAGAGTTCCACTGCTGAACGGCTCTCACAGTCAGGAAGTTCTTCCTCATGTTCAGATGGAATCTCCTCTCTTGTAGTTTGAAGCCATTGTTCCTTGTCCTAGTCTCCAGGGAAGCAGAAAACAAGCTTGGTCCCTCCTCCCTGTGGCTTCCTCTCACATATTTATACATGGCTATCATATCTCCTCTCAGCCTTCTCTTCTTCAGGCTAAACATGCCCAGCTCCTTAAGCCACTCCTCATAGGGCTTAAGTTTTAAGTTATTTTAAGTCATTTTAGTCGCCCTCCTCTGGACACATATCTCTCTTCAATTGTGGTGCCCAGAATTGGACACAATATTCCAAGTGTGGTCTAACAAAAAGCAGAATAGAGGGGTAGCGTTACTTCCCTAGATCTAGACACTATGCTCCTATTGATGCAGGCCAAAATCCCATTGGCTTTTTTTGCCACCACATCACATTGTTAGCTCATGTTTAACTTGCTGTCCACGAGGACTCCAAGATCTTTTTCACACGTACTGCTCTCAAGCCAGGCATTGTCCCCCATTCTGTATCTTTGCATTTCGTTTTTTCTGCCTAAGTGGAGTATCTTGCGTTTGTCCCTGTTGAACTTCATTTTGTTAGTTTTGGTCCATCTCTCTAATTTGTCAAGATCATTTTGAATCCTGCTCCTTTCTGGTGAGAGAATTGGTCGTCTGCAAGGACGTTGCCCAGGGGACGCCCAGATGATTTGATGTTTTTATCATCCTTGTGGGAGGCTTCTCTCATGTCCCCGCATGAGGAGCTGGAGCTGATATAGGGAGCTCATCCGCCTCTCCCCGGATTTGAACCTGCGACCTGTCGGTCTTCAGTCCTGCCGGCACAGGGGTTTAACCCACTGCGCCACCGAGGGGATAAATAAAACTATAAAATCTATATAAATACAAATGTAATGTTTGTTTGTGGGATTAATAGAACTCAAAAACCACCCGGGGAATTGACCCCAAATTTGGACAACTTACATATAACAACCCAATGTATGTCCTTCACTCATAAAAACACTGAAAAACACAGCAGAAGGGACTTAAAAAGCCCCAAAAAGCTAAATGACAATACAGAAAAAAGGAAGAAAGAGGGAGGGAAGGGGAAGAAAAAGAAAGAAAAGAAAGAGGGAGGGAAAGAAAAGAGGAAAGGGAGAAGGAAGGAAAGAGTAGAGAAGAAGAAAGGAGAGAAAGAGGGAGGGAAAGAAAAGGGAAGGAAAGTTAGAAAGGAAGGAAGGAGAGAAGGAAAGAAAAAAGGGAAAGAAGAGAAGAGGGAGAAGGAAGGGGGAAGATGTAGAGAAAGGGAGGGAAGAAAGAAGGAAAGAGAGAAGGAAGAAAAGAGAGACAGTAGAAGATAAAGAAAAGGGAAGGAAAGAAGAGATAGAGAAGGAAGAAAGAAGGAAAGAGGAAGGAAGGAAGGAAGGAAAAAGAAGGGAGAAAGAGAGAAAGGGAAGAAGGAAAGAACATTGCGGGTAATAATAATAATAAATAAATAAATAAATAAAACTTTATTTATATACCGCTCCATCTTCCCGAGGGGACTCAGAGCTGTTCCCAAGTAACATCACAAAACATACAGAGTAAAAACAACATAACCATAAGATTAACAAACAAAATATAAGCATAAAAATTGTCACCATAACACACATATATTAAAAGTAATCCTGCCTGTTCAAGGCAATTAAAAATTTAAAAGGCCGGGCCAAGATTTGTGCAAGCCCAAAAATTCTAGGGGCCCGGGAATTAAGTGCAATGCTATGGCAGGCAACAATAATATTAGGTACGGGTCTGGTGGCTGTTCATTCCGGGGCCGATTAGAGGAAAGGATCTGGGTAATTGGTAGGAAGAATAAGGCCGTATTACACAATGTGTGGGGCTGAGTTAGAACTGGTCATTTTCAAAGGCTTGTTGAAACCACCAGGTCTTCAAGCTCTTACAAAAGGAGGGGAGGGATGGGTCCTGTCTTATTTCCCTTGGAAGAGCGTTTCAGAGGCGGGGGGCCACCACTAAGAAGGCCCTCTGTCTCGCCCCCACCAACCGTGCTTGAGATGGTAGTGGGACCAAGAGGAGGGCCTCTCCAGAAGATCTTAGAGCTCATGAGAATATTCCCACGCTGCTGAAACTTGTGTTCATGGTTCACTGGTACAAATGTGGTCAAATATTCAGATTAATTCGCACTACGCTTTACAAAGCTATACTTGAAGGGCATTGAAAGATTTCCGAAGAACTTAGGGCCCACCCACATGCCATGGAATGCAGGTTGGAATGCGTTATTGAGAGTACGGCTGGGTCACCTCCGCCCTACATCCCAGGATCTGATCCTAGATTACCTGCTGTAGACTGGATTAGATAATGGTATGATAGCTGGGTCCGGAAGCTCCGAGCACTACAGAGATGGCGCGTCACTCCTTCAGGAGTGCAGTTTGCGCAAGAGAGACTTAGTTAATGTAAGCCAGGCCGGAGACAGATCATATAGAAACCCTAACCCTGAATCGTACCATAAACCTATGCCTAACCTCTTACCCTAACCCTTACGCTAACCCAAACCCTAAACCTTACCCTAATCCTTAATCATCCCTATCTCTTGCCATGAACCATCACGAAGTTTAAGAATCGAAATCGAAATCCAAAAACCAGTCTGGGTCAATTCATTGCCATAAGTTGTGTGATCTTCTTCCACTTGCTGCTCACTGATCAAAAGATTGGTCCCATAACCAGGTCTTGATTTTCCTTCTAAAAGACAAGAGAGAGGTGGCCAGTCTGATATCTCTAGGGAGGGCATTCCATAGGCGGTGGGCCACTGATGAGAAGGCCCTGTCTCTCATCCCCATCAACTGTGTTTGCGACAGTGGTGGGATTGAGAGCAGGGCCTAAGATGGTCTTTGGCGACCCCTCCAGGAGTCCCGACACCCAGGTTGAGAAATGCTGCTTTAAACAGAGCTTAAATGGCCATCTGTTGGGGCTGCTTCAATTGTGCTTTTCCTGTATGGCAGAATGGGGTTGGAC